GTAGCGGTAACGATCGTCGGGGAGGGGGCTTGGATCCCTCTTTTCTGCGTTATGGCACTCGCGCTCATATTTATACATCCCAGCGCACCCCAGCCAAAGCATTATTGTTACCTGTGGGCTCCGAGCCCCCCCCCCCTCTGGTAACGACCGCTCCCTGGAAATCATAGAAGCACACATTGATTGACGTTTTCGATCGGTGTGGGTCCCCGCGGCCATCACTGATCGATCTGTCTCGAAGAATGCAGGAGAAGGATGGGGTCTGGGCCTGCTGTCGTGCTTGTTTGGCGATGCTGCTGGACCGCTGGATCGGGCCGCGGACAGCTGGACCAGGCGAAGACCGCTGAATCGGGCGCAGAGAACTGTGTGCACAGACACCGATCCTGGCAGGGCCTGTCCTGGGCCCAGGGTCGCGGACCGAGGTATAAGATCGAGGTCAGCTCGGGCAGGGTGCCCGGATGCTCTTCGTGTCACCTGGACGGTCCTGTGCGCCCATGGGGGGGACCCCTGGATGTGCTGTTTGCTCTGGCCGACGGAGGGCCTCATGCTCTCGAGGGATGCTCTTTCTGGCCGAGGTGCGGCTGCATGCCTTCCTGGGCAAGCCTCGGTTCGGGGGCTGCCAGAGGTGCCCCTGGCCCAGGGTGCCCCCAGGATTTCCAGGGAGGCCCCCTCGGCCTCCAGAGCACCCCTCACGAGGCCCAGAGGGCCCCAGAGGCCCGAACATTGGACGACAAGCTGGGGGCACCGTGGGCCAGGGACACTTCTAGCACCACGCAATCGGTTGGGCGGTGCGCACCGCTCGGTTGGGCCCAGGGCGGGCCACGTCAGAAGCGGATCGCACGTGGACGGGCCTCTCTCGCCTGCAGCTGCGGACCCCGGGCCTCTGCGGCCTCGGCGTCGATCGGTGCGGGCCCTTGGCCCCGTCCCCTCCCCCCCCCCCTCCCTCCTCCTCCTCCTCCCTCCTCCTCCTCCTCTCCTCCTCCTCTCCCTCCTCCCCTCCTCCTCCTCCTCCTCCTCCTCCTCCTCCCCTCCTCCTCCTCCTCCTCCTCCTCCTCTCCTGTTCCTCTCCTCCTCCTCTCCTCCTCCTCCCTCCTCCCTCCTCCTCCTCCTCCTGTCCTCCTCCTCTCCTCTCCTCCTCTCCTCTCCTCCTCCTCCTCCTCCTCCTCCTCCTCCTCCTCCTCCTCCTCCTCCTCCCCCCTCCCTCCGTGCATGGGGCCCATACCGCTACACTCCGCCCGCTTGCCCCTTGTTCGCTCTCCTGGTGGCTTCTCGCCGCCACCGCTGGACGCACCTCGAAATCCTGGTCGGGACGCACCCTGGGCGACGTCCAGGCAGTAGCGGTATATCGGTACCTCCTGCTTTCCCCCCTCCCCTTCTCCCCCCAGGGCTATAAAACAGGGCCAGGATCGGGATAAATCGCTCCAGAGCGTTCTGGAGCGCTCTCAGAGCGTTCCGGAACGCTCTGGGGCGCTCTCAGAGATTCTCAGAGATTTCGAGTTATCCCGATCCGATGTTGTCCCGATCCTCGCGTCGTTTTAGGCCAGCTCTCGGCTGGGTCTGGCGGCTGCTCCCGGCGGCCGGCCTCGGGCCCCCCATCCCCACGAGTCTGCCCGCGCGGCCGGCATGGAAGCAGATCGACGAAGCACCGGGCCAGACCGGGACCCCCCCCCTCACCCGCAGTACTTGCGTGCAAAACTTCTGTCTATATCCACTGCAGTATGGAGTTTCGGGCTCCCTTCCCAAGAAACCCGAACCGCACTGGATATGGATAAATTTGCCCCCTAGAGGCTCGATGTTTATCCATATCCAGTGCGCCTCGGCCTTGTGGCGCCGCTTCCAAAAAAGTCCAAAAAGCACTGGATATGGACATGAATCTTGTCCGCAGTACTGTGTTTCACCGACCCCATGTGCCCATCCATGCCCGTCCCTATGCAGACCCCCACGATCGCAGCGCCCCAGTGGGGGATCCCCCCTCTGGAACCCGAAGGAAGCAGCCGCTAGATTCCCATCGACCATCCCTACGCAGACCCCCACGATCTCAGCACCCCAGTCGGGGATTCCCCCCTCGGACACCCGAAGAAAACAGCCGATGTATTCCCACCTAGGGTAAATCGGGCAGTGGGACCCAGGCCAAGCCCATGGGGAGACGGGTCGGTTAAACGATGCTCATGCCCCCCCCTCACCCACCCGTCGGCCAAGTATCCAATCGCAGAATTTAAACAACAAAAAAACGCTCACTCATGGATCGCATCGGACACCCCAGCCGGCGTCTCCAGGGTCTGACCCACAGGAGGAGCACACAGGGTTCGCATGGGATATGGGAGGCTCGTGTCGTGACGCGGCGGCGACCCCGCCGCGAGCGTTTAAGGTGGAACGCCGCCAGTGGCCCAGAATCTGCCAATACGCGGCGACACAAACCAATGCCCGGGTTGCCACGGTGCGAACATGCAGTTATTAGGGTTCACGCGTGGTTGTTTCTTTTTGGAGGCGGCCAGGCTGTCAGAGTTGGATGGCGCTCAAAATCGGTTCCCGCACCCCTCCCGGGCCCAGGCAACGGCCCTTTGTTCCGTCTCTGTTGGGGGTCCATTTGGTGCAGTTTCTCGTTTCGTCTCCCAGGCCCAGGCAGCGGCCCCCAGAGGCCGAGGAGTGGAACAGACCTTCTCGAGCCCGGAACCCCAGACCGCGCCGCGCCCCCCTGTACTGCTGGCTGGAGCCAGTGCTGAGCCACCTCGGACCCCCAGCCGGGTCCCAGCCCCCAGCCAGGCCGTTCCTCATTCCGCTCCTCCAGCACACCCCAACATGGATTGGGGATCTGGCGCGTGGGCGCCAGATCCGCTTCTCGGGGAACGTCACTCCCGAAGCGTGGCGCCAGAGCCGCGTGACTTGGCGACAAAACGCGCCGACTTTGTTCAGGAGGGAAAGAAACACACAGACACAATGAATCCTCGATTCCCCAGAAAATATGGGAAAATATGGGAAGTGGGGGGGAAGACAGAAACCCAGAACATATGGGAAAATATGGGGAATATTTTTATTTGTGCGTATTTATTTGTGTGTCCTGGGGCCCCTTCATTTGTGACCGCCTCGTGTGAGGAGGGCTTCGAGGCGCGCCTCGCCTGCGTGGCGCAGATGGCGGCGCGGGTGGCGGCCCTGCAGCCCGCCAGGCAGCCGGGGAGCCCGCGCGCGCGGCACTGAGCCCGGGGGCGGTCACAAGGGGTGATCAGGAGGAAAAGAAACAGGTACCCGTAACCCTGATCACGTTTGTACCGGTTTCGCCTTCTTGGGCCTCCTGGGAGGCCCTCGTCGCCACCCTTGGATTCGCTTCGATGAGTTCTGTGGAGTAGCGCCGCCAGGAGCGAATGAAGGGCGTACACGCACATGAACCAACGTCGGTTTCGAAAGTTCGCATTGCGCGAACGGTTGTATCACGAGGTTGGTCTCGCGGATTGTGGGTTCATAATTCATGTACGTGGTTGGGCGCGTACGTTCTTTATCGGCTTGGTATTCAAGACGATGAAGTAAGGAGCAGTTTGCGTTCAGAAGGGGATCGATGTTCTTCAGTTCCTTCCGTGGCTGTGTTCTCTAGCCCTCCTCGTGCACGCAGGCGCTTTTGGTCCAATAGGGGCTTCGTTCCTTATGTAGCGTTCCTCATTTCAGCAGCCATCCTGTAGGGGAAAGTCGAGGACACGTAAATATTAATTAGTCCAGGCCTCCCAGATGGGGCCAGCGTAGATGGGGTCGGAGGATCGCGCCGCATCGCCAATGCATCGCCGACGCGGGTCGACGTGGAGCCCATGATTCTCCATGCCGACGTCGCCGATGCATCGCCGGCTTCGCCGATGTACTGGCGATACATCGTTGATGCATTTTCGCTGCATTGTTGATGCATCGCCGATGCTTCGGCGACGCGGCTCGATCCTTCGACCCCACCTACTCGGACCCCCTCTAGGAGGCCTCTAATTTGGGTGCGTGGATTATCGACGTGGCCCGTGTCCATCCCACACCGGTGCGTTCCGTCGCCAAATCACGCGGCAAAGGCGCCACGCTTCGGGTGTCACGTTCCCCGATCCGTGGATCTGGCGCCCACGCGCCAGATCCACGGATCCTTCATCCATGCGAGGGTGTGCCAAAAGGAGTGGAGGGGAATCTCATGGCCGGGTTTTGGAGCTGGCTGGGGGTCCGAGGTGGCTCAGTAGTTGTTCCAGCCAGAAGTAAGGGGGGGAGCGGGGTCCGAGGCTCTGGGTTCGACAAGGTCTGTGGCCTTCTTCGGCCTCCGGGGGCCTGGGACCGTCAGAGAAACTGCACCAGATGGACTTTCTCCTCCTCCTCCTCCTCCTCCTCCTCCTCCTCCTCCTCCTCCTCTCCTCCTCCTCCTCCTCCTCCTCCTCCTCCTATTCCTATTCCTCCTCCTCCTCCTCCTCCTCCTCCTCCTCCTCCTCCTCGGGGACCGATTTTGAACGGATTTGGCCCCGTGCCCCCATCCTGACAGATGTTCTGGGGGCCCATCCAGCTCTGAAGCCCCCGGCCGCCGCCGAGCCAGGGCCAGGACCTCTTCCCGGATTTATGCGTCCCGTGGTCCACCCCTGGGCCACGCAGTGCCGCACACGAGCCTCGCGCCACGATCTGCGAACCCCCACCCTTGGACGCCCCCCTCTCGGACGCCCATGGGTGAGCCCCCCTCAAGGGTGGCGCGCCCGCCGCGCGGGCGCGCGCAGCCCGCCGCGCGGAGTTCGAGGCCTCCCGGACGGGGGCGGAGGATCGCGCCGCATCGCCGATGCCTCGTCGATGCCTCGTCGACGTCGGCGTGGAGGAAACTGGGCTCCACGTCGGCCCGCATCGGCGATGCGGCTCGCTGCGGAGCCCGATGTCCTCCCCTCCAGCGTCGCCGATGCACCAGCGGTGCATCAGCGATGCGGCGTGATCTTTCGTCCCCCGCCTATACTTGGACCCACTCAGCCACGCGCAGAGGGGGAGTAGGGGTAGGGGTAGGGGGAAGCTGAGCAGCACCCTGCTTCTTAAAAGGCGTGGGCCTCATCCATAGATGTGGTGCCCGCGCCGTCTGAGAGGCAACCTCCTTCCAAGCAGCCTCCCCCGCTTCTCCTTACCCCCTGGTGCGCGCCGCCGCGTTACAGGGCGTTGTTTTTGGGATCGCCCCCTTCCTGTCTCCTCCTCCCCTGCGTCTCGCCCCGCCGACCCAATCTGGGAGGCCTCGCCCTCCGCACCTTCCCCCCTCCGCGCGCACGCGCGGAGTGCAGTGTGCGCGGCGTGCCCGGCCCCATGGCGCGCCGGGCGGCGCGACGCCTGCCCCATGGGCCGGCCCGCGGCCCCGCGGGCCCCGCGGGGGGGGGCGAGGGGCGCTCGGAGGGCAGCGGGGAATCAAGCAGTGGCGAAGCGTCCTGGCTCGCCTATAGCCCTCCCAAACAGTGTTCTAAGAGCCCTTTGACGTTCCCACGAAGTGTTCTTAGAACAATTCTGGCTGGGACTGTCTTGTTTTATCGCATCGAGTTTCTGTTCTAAGAACATTGTTTTTGTTCTCAGAGCATGTTTAGGTTCTAAGCACATTTCGTGGTAGGACTATAGGAATGCCGGGACGGTCGGTCCCTGCTCAAGGGAAGGAGAAGCGGCGGGGGAGGATCAGTGCGCGAACGTGACGCTGGGCCCACTCGGAGCTCGGAGTGCCGCGTCGCCGCGGTCGGGCCCGCGCCCGGACATGGCGGCGAGCTGTCCCCGTCTGTCGGTGGCGCGCACTGGAAGGCCACGTGTCTTCCGCAGGGGGCGAGGATTGTCGCGAGTCGCGGTCTGGGCCGCAGGTCGTACCTATCCCAGCGGGGGAGGGGGCGGCGCGAGGGAGGGCAGCTTACCGCGCGGCGCGAGCATCAGAGTCGTTTCACCGACACCTATACAGTCGGGGCGCTGAACAAGGAACCCTTTTCGTTGGGGAGGGGCTCCGTGTTCCTTACTTGTTTCGCAGGTTGCCTTAGCATGTCCTTATGTATTCGATGGGGAATCGAAGTTTAACTTATGGGAAAATGGGCCTCGTTCCTTTTTTAGGGTTCCTTAGGTCAACGCCCCGACTGTATCCCCGTCCCCGTCCCCGTCCAAACCCCACCATCTCAGCACCCCCAGTTGGGGATCTACCCCTCGAAGTTGTTCCCATCTGGGGTGGCAAGGGTCGGAGAAACGATGCTGGGGCCCAGTGGGGCCCAGGCCATGCCGTTGGAAAGAATGGTCGGATAAATGATGCTCAGAGGAGGCGGAGCGGGGAGGGGCGATGAGGGGGGAGGAGGAGGCAGCATTCGGTGGGCCCCGCGGATCTTTTGGATCCGGCGCCACCCCCGGCGAGGAGGACGAGGAGCCAGGAGTCGGAGTCCGAGCAAGGAGGAGGAGGACGAGGAGGAGGAGGAGGAGCAGGGTTGAGGAGGAAGAGGAGGAGGAGGGGGAGGCGGACGAGGAGGATGAGGAGCGAGGATTGGGGAGGCAGGAGAGGCGGGCAGGGGACCGCGCGCGGTGTGTGCAGAGCCCCGGTCGGCGCGCACCTGCAACTGGGATGCGCGCTGCCCGTTCCGCAGGCCGCCACGGGCTGCCGGGCGGCATCCGGCCTCAGGGGCAGCGTTGGGAGAGGACAAGGAGGGCGGTTCGCTAATTGGCGAGGCTCGAGATGTTCGGACGTTTTCGTTGGTTCTCGTCGGCTTTCCAGCCTCCAGAGGCTGCGTCTCGCAGAGAGCGTTCCAGGGGCGTTCGGATCGTCCCGAACGGTCGCTGGAGATCCGAGTTGTGGCCCGAGAACGGGACAGCGAGGATCGTTGGGGGTGATCGGATCAGGGACGAACGCATGGACCTCTAGCCGCCCATCCATCGCCGATCTGGGAGCTGATAGCCCGCCCCGCCGTGGAGCGCGCAGCTTCGCTGCCAGGGGCCGATCGCCAATTTGTCAGCGATGCCTGCCCCCCGCCCCCCCGAGCGTTCCCCCCCTGGCTCGTGGGCGAAACACGTATCCGTATCCGCGGCCTCGCGGGTCAGGCCCTTGGGCCGCGACCCCGCGGATGCGGGGGATCATTGTGGCGCTCCCGATGGTGCTCGGTTCGCTTGGAGGCCTACGGGGACGTCCTGGGGCCCTCGCCGTCGCAGGAGGAGCATCTTGGAAATGTCTGGCGACCATCTTGGGCCATCTGGCCCCCGGGGTGGGAATTTTGCGGCATCTGACGCGCCCCAGCCCTGTCTAGACAGCGGAGCACAGGTGGAGCAGCGCCCTTCCCCCCTCCCCTTGTCCAGGCAGAGCCCCCCCGGCCCTTGGCATCGCTCGCACGTGTGCGTTTTTTCCTCGGCGAGGACCATCGAGGAGCATCCTTGATCATTTGGCGAAAAAACCACGCACGAAACCGAAAAAAAACACAGGGAATGGACGTTCGACCGATGGCGAGGGCCCCCCCCCAGCAGAACTGAAGCTCAGACTGTAGGCTGCAGCGTAGGCTCTTCGAAACTCACACGCCGGGTCGGCGGACT